CCCCCATTAACGCCAACTTGGGGCATTGTTTGTTTTAATTAGTAATTTGCGTGATAACCAAACAACAAGTCACGATTAGATTATTTTGAAAGGAAGTTACATTAATTCATGGCTAAATGGCAAAGGGAACAAATGGAAAACCTCACTGAGCACCTTCCTTCCAACGAGGTTGTCTGTGTCCATGATTACTCTGAAGGCTACAGCTGCTGCCAGCAGGATGAGCTGCAGTCAGAGTACTTTGATGTGGCAAAAGTTTCTCTACACATCACCATCCTATACCGCCATGCAGTGGAATCTGTGGATGGCAAAACAAACATAGAGGATGATCCGAGGATTGTCAAGGAGCACCTCTTTGTGATTTTAGATGATGTCCAAGATTATCACGCAGTGCACAAGGCTCAAGAATTAATAACTGGATATCTTGAAAATCAGCTGCACATGAAGATTAGCAAGCTTCATGAGTTCACAGATGGCTGTGCTGCCCAGTACAAGTCTCGTCACTGTATCAGAGATCTGTCTTGCTGTCTTGCTGACCATGGATTCCTGGTGCAAAGAAATTTTTTCGAAACATCGCATGCCAAGGGAGAGCAGGACGCTGCTGGAGCTAATGTCAAACAGGTTAGCCATGCAGTGCTTAGAAAGACAGGTGTCATCAGGAATGCTAAGGACATGAAAGAGTATCTCGAAGAGCATTTCAGCACTCCAGCAGCCTCTACATTAACATCGAGATCCAAAGCAGAGGGTCTCGCTCGTAGGTTATTCTTTTATGTTCCTCCAGAAGGTGATGAGGCAGTTGTCAGAGGCAGACCAGACAGAGCCTTTAAGGAGCTGAAAGGCATCCGGAAACTCCACTGCCTCAGGACGACTCCCGAACAGGGAAGGATCTTCACCAGAAGCCACAGCTGTTAATGCCTTGACTGCATTGGTGGTGAGGAGGAGAACTGCAGCAACAAAGAGTGGTTGGATGACTGGCAAGATGTTAAGCTGGAAAGAGAATCTTCTGTTGCAACAACCAGGCAAGCTGTTGAGGAAACTGAAGCTAATCTACTTGACACTGCAGTCAGGGTTGCAGACCTTGCTGCCAAGGACAGTGTAGTTGCTATTGCAGCAGCTAATGACCCTGACTATGACTACTATTTAATGAAAGTGAAGAGTGATGGTTTAGTGGAATTAGATGAGCCTACAACAGATGACTATGGGTGCACCTTCCCCAGAGGTTCTCTTGGCCTTAAAGGATACTTTTTTGTCAGAGATAACATCATTGACATGACTTATAAACTAAACAAAAACAAAACAGCTTTTGTGCTTGCTGGCATGGTGCAGCATGTTTGCGGGGAGCTACGAAAGCAAAGAAATAGCATTTATAAAGTGCCTTTGACTGTAAATGAAGAAATAATGGCTTCTTCGTAATTGTACATGCTTTTTCCAGTTATTTTTGTTGTATTTTAGCCAGTATGGCCATGCTAACAACATTATATTTTCAGGTGCCACGCCCACAAAGGATTCTGGGTATTTACTGAAATAAGCTGTAAATGAGAAATAAATAATGAAAACTCGCGTAATATGTTTCTTTGACGATAATTACTTAAAATCTGGGGAGTTATGGTAGTCTAGGTATACTTTACACATTTTCATGAAAATGCCCCTTGATACACCAAATGAATGTACATGTGTATTGTGCTACAAGTCTCAGCTTTTCCTTGATTCTTTCATATTTTTTCTATCTTCTATTTTGCAGAAATTTCAGTGTGTATAACATTATCAACCCTTTCACTCCTGAACCGGCCAAAACCGGCCGGCCGGAAACACGCTACTATTCCTGAACCAGCCAAAACCGGCCAAAAAAAACATCATTGTTTACGGCTTCTCTCCCCTCCCCTAATAAAGATTATATGCTCACCAAATATTTTTCTATTGTTA